CTTGGATGCAGCCAATTCCTTGCTGGTGAAAATGTGAAAGCACGGTGGGTGGCGGCAATAAGGACAGTAGGTGACTACCGGCTCCTTGTGAGTATTTCACAGTGCCGTCGGTGTGCGGAAGACAGGCGGAAGCTACACGCCACAGGATTGGGAGTTGTTATATTATAACACAAAAAAAGTATGAACATACTGCTGATTTTCTGATTCGTCAATTACAGTTCTTGCGAATGTATAAAAGCGGCTGCTTAGTTTGGTGACATTTCAGGAGAGCAGACTGGCGGCTCTCTTATTCAGCTCAGATTTCCTTTACTTGAATGTGATACGGCAGACGCTACCTCCATTCAACGTTGTGAAAATGTTGAGGGGTGATTCTTTCCACCACTTTGTTCTGACGTTTTAAAACCTAACAGGGATTAGCTCGATTGGAGGCAATAATAACTAAAGGTCAAATTGGAAATGATGATAGGTTTTGACTCCTCTCTCATAGCCCGATCCTAAGCATTGTGATACACCACAAGGTTGTCATCTTCTTTACCTCAAACGTATTTTTATGTCATTCGTTATTTTGTGAGGCAATACAGTCGACATCACGAGTGTTATTTCCAAAGTATTTTTCCGTTTGATGAAAGTCAGAATGGACTTGTAACTGCTGTTATTTGCCATATTTGTCAAAATATATCCTTTTTATCTAAAGAACATGGAGGGAGGCAACGTACGGAATGATTATTTGGCGGTTTTATTTTAGATGTATCATTGCTAAACGGGTAACGGGTCAGTAATTTAACATTTTATTTAACATTAATTCATCAAAATACACAATAGCAGTTGTGACAAACCTCCCTCTCTATTGAGTCTTACAATAGCCTCTAAAGAAGTATCTAAAATTGAAATGAGTAAAAAGCTATCTAAAAAAAACATATCTGCTGTACAATTTAATATGAAACAATAGTCTATAAATGAAGGCAAACGGTTGCTGAGGCATCACCTTGAAGTTGTTATGCATAAATGAACAGTGTATTTACACATCCAATAGATATATAGAAAAAAGTTTCCTTCATTGTGCAAATAGTAAAACAAGAATCCAGAACTAATACACTTGGGTCCTAATTCTTTGTGGTTTATTCCTTACTTCATTCACACATGTCATTTAACCCAAAATTGATATGACAGTATTGATTATTACACTTGTTTTAAAACAAATGAGGCTGATTTATTTTTCCATTGCCGGTGTTTCTCCGGATAGCGGCCATGTCAGAAAAATATCTGTGACATGTTATTAGATATATATAATTGCATTCATATAATATGAACACAGTTGGAATACAGATGCTTCTGGTCAGGCATTCACTCCCATTTGATTTTGACTTAATATTTCAAGTCTGAGATTAACCGATTCTGCCGCACTCCAGAAAGTCGTCAACATCTGGAGCTTGAAAAAAACAAAATGAAAAACAAGAGAAAGTCAAGATAGTGCGTCCAACTAGTTAATGATTTACTTGACTTCCTCCACAGACAAAACACACAAAAGGACCTGTTTAATAATGGGGGAAAGATGTACAATTAGAAAACACACTGGAGCGGAGACGGAACAAATTGCCTTTTCGTATTGCTTTGTTTTAATTGAACTGAGCACGGACACAGCGTAACAGATTAGAGTCTAGTATCAGCCACGCTGGAAGATGCGTCTTGGAATTTCTTTTAAATGGCTTCGTTTGACAGGAATTTCTTCTCCGGCACGTCGGAAGAATACTCAGTACACACTTGGCAAGAAGAGAAAATCATTTGCAAGAGGAGGTTATTTCAAATCTCCTCACACAACCACGAAACAACCTCCTGACGGTAAGAAAGAAATCCAACAGCAAACACGAGGTTCCTCTTTGTATTGTAAATGCAGTGGGGAGGTAAAACCATCACAGAAAAAAAGTTTCTTTCTAGCTTCAAACGGTTTGTCAGGATCCGGTTTCCCACTCTTGAATATGTTGTCTGTTTGTTACTTAAAACCTTACATGAACTTTTGTGACTTCACTGCGGTTCACATCTCATTTGGAAAACTTTAGTTGGGCTGCTGAGGACGCGGTGAATAGTTCACGCGTTTCCTTTTCAATGTCATACCACCGCTGTTCATTAATCAAAGATAAATATTATCAAAGTCCTGTTGACATACGTCCTCGCTAATCTACCGCAACTGATCGTTATCAGTATTCAGCATGAGGACATCTGCGTCTTGTTGTGTCTTTTTTTCAATGACTAACTGCTCCCTGACTACATAACATACTCAAATTAGAGCACAGAGCAGCATCACTGAACTTTTCAATAGAATGAAAACATTGTTTTCTTTTTCTAGGACCGCTGCAAGGTTAGCGTGCTCGCTGATGTTCTTACAAGTGCTTTTTTGAATAGGAAATCACAGAATGTTTTACTTTGAATTGTTTTCGTGAAAGCCATGCAACAGAAGATGTGCTGTTGCTGAAGGCACGGTGAAGGACGAGACACTAAAGTTTGTGCTCAAATGACACGCGTCTGTCAGCTCATGTGGAGTTCAATGCCTTTGAAATTATTGGATTCAGGAGGAGCTGATGACTACTGTGCAATGCATAAAAAAAGCTCTATATTGATTCTCATCCATGCCTTTCTTTAAAGCCAGTGGGATTTTAAGTGTTGTTTGTGTGCGATTGTCTCATGTGTAATTTCTGTGTACACTAATCTTGTGGTTTATTTAAACTAACTAGAATCTCACAATGTGCTGAACCTTAAAACAGAAGTAAGTGGTGTTTTTGGAAACATATAAAGCTGATAAGGAAAACTTGTTATTTGGATGGATGCAACAACATTTAGTCCATTTTCGTTAACATCTCCTGTCCTGGAGCGGCAGCGTTTTGTCACCATTGTTAGCAATTTGTTAAGAGGGCAACCGTTTAGTCCTCTGCTGGGGAATGTGGGAACCTCAAAGTGAGGCTGCGGTTTGCATGATTCTCACTTGTCACTTATCTAGTTTGAGTTAACACCCCAAATAGACGATAATACAGCATGTTTCAGTCAACTGGACAAGTGGGTCATCACACACACACACACACACGCACGGCTGAAGTGATGAAATTCCTTAAAGACTGAAGTGAAGGCAAAAGCTCCCTGCAGCAGTCCGCCTTAAACTAAAGGAGGATGACCAGCAGCCAAAACGTGTGTGAGATTTTCTTTTTTTCTCAGTGTTCCAAAAATCCCTTCATGGATCAAACACCCAATGCACTTCCTGCTCAAAATCTGTCATCATCCCTAAAGGAAGGATGTGTCAAAGAAAACTTTCAGAAAACGGAAACAAGCCGAAATAGTGGTTTCTAAGAGCCTTCTCTTAAAAAGACTGGGACAGAAAAACGGTCACTAGAATCATCAGTGTGGATGAAATTGTTGCACCTCTGCAGGATTTAGTTGATTTACAGAAAATCTGAAATGTCTGTTCATTGTGAAAAACATTTCTACTCTTACCCACAAGGTTTTCCCGTTTTGAAAACTGTTTTTTTAGCCGTCTTTGAATCCTTAATATGTTTTTGGCATTTCCTTCGGTTCATCTCGGCACTAATCCTGGTGGAAAATGTGTATTCCAACATTGGTCACCCCTGCTTAAATTATATCTGACTGCAAGCAAACTGCAGGTCTTCTGCTTTAATATATTTGTAAAACTATTGTATGCTGAATTATTAAACTCGATTGCACTATATGTTCCTCTTACTTTGAGCCTAAATCCATGGTTTCTTTTTCAGCATGTGGGGTGGTAGAATTATTTTTTTATCCCCTCAAAAAGAGGAAAACAACAACAGCAAAAAAAAAATGACCGAACTGATTCTTGATGCAGTGATGAGCATACTTTAAAGATGTGGCGTAAGTGGGTCACACAATAGTGTTTTTATTTTTGGTGCTGAGTGATCTTGATTTCCTGCTGTCCAGCCTTTTTCCTGCCTTTTGGTTTTAGTTTTGCATAATCAAGTGAAACCTCAGCTTAAGAAGAAAGAGACGCTGACAAAATATTTTTGTGCAGTCATATGTGCTGACAAAAGAGAAATTTGTTTCGGTGCCAACTGATATACTGTTGGAAGGAATGCGTCAGAGACGTGGATTCCTTCAAAAACTCTCATTAGCTACTCCAGCCCGTCATTCTCAAAACACTGTACACTGCTCTCACTGCAGGATTGTTGCAGCTCTCTTATTTTGCTGACAAAACATGCGTTATTGGAATACACGCTCAGAAACTCTAGAACCTACAGTCTAGAAGCTAAAAAAAGAAAAATACACTAAAATAAGAATGACGGAAGCCTTTCTGCTGTTAGATTTATGCGTGATGTCGTTGACGTGACTCAACTGGAAGGAAGGTGTTACTTTAATTAACAAGCCGTTATTTTTTTTCTATCATTTAATTGGTTGTTTCCTCTGAAGGCTTTTCGCAAAAAACAACACGTTGGGCTGTTGTGTCAATCTTAATTTAACGAACTATAAATAATGAAATACACGGTTTAGTTTCCCTCACTCCAAACTGATCTCGGTATTCAGCCCCGATAGGTACAGCGTGTACCTACTGCACACCGGCTGTACAGTGTGTGTACTTGATGTACACACACTGTACATATCTTAGTTGTGTCCCCACTGTCCCGAGAGCTGCAGGAGGCTGAGAAAACAATCCTTGGGAAAACCATCCCACACTCAGGCGCTCTAAATCGCCCCCGAGAAAATCCCGTTGAAGAGGCACCGGAGACACTGCTCCGGCTGCAGAAAACATATCCCGAAATCCTTTTGTTTATTCTTTTGCGTACTTTTCAGTTTGCTTTTGCAAGGACTCCGGTTGGAGAGTTGGTTGTATTGCGAGTGTTATTCGTGAGGTATTTTTACCTTATTGCATTTAAATTCTGTTCACACAACAACAATGTACAGTGACGTTTTTTTTGTGTGTCTGTGAAGCCAGTATTCTACACCTCCCTTTGAATCATCATTAATTCCATCTCCTGTGTGTTTAGGGGGCGTGTGCATCTCCCAGTCTGTCAAGATTCCCCGGGAGCCCAAACAGGGGGAGTTCGACAAGGTCATCCGACGCCTGAGAGAAAACCCGAATGCGAGAGTCGTCATCCTTTTTGCCAACGAAGACGATATCAAGTAGGTGGTAACGGCTGCGCAACACTTTGACAGAAGATAAAGAAAAACAACAACATCCGAGCGACCCCGTCCGTATGATGACAGAACCCAAGGGGAGCTGGTCGGGATGTTGCAACATCTGTTTCCTCACCTTTGCAGGCGGCTACTTCACGCTGCTAAAAAGGCCAACCAGACGGGTCATTTCATCTGGGTGGGGTCGGACAGCTGGGGATCAAAGATCTCTCCGGTCGTGCACCAGGAGGAGATGGCGGAGGGGGCCGTCACCATCCTGCCCAAGCGCCAGTCCATCAGAGGTACAGAGTGGAGCATTGTGCTTTGTGCATGTATCAGACCCCCCACCCCCGCCCAACCCCCCCTTCTCTGAAACAAAAGCATGTGCATGTTTCGGCGGAGCCTTTCATGTGATGCCGGGCTGAATCTGTTTGCAGAAGAATACAAAAAACGTTGCGATGCTTAACTATTGATCATATCATCATCAAGAAGTCAGTCAAACTAAGCTACAGAGTAAGATGTCATATTTAATCAATTATACTGCAGACAACATCAGAGCTGCGGTTCAACGGCTGCACCAACATTGTTGTTTACGCTCATACACTCCGTGTCGATGACAATGAAATGCTGTGTTCAGGGTTTGATCGTTACTTCATCAGCCGAACGCTGGAGAACAACAGAAGGAATATCTGGTTTGCTGAGTTCTGGGAGAACAACTTCAGCTGCAAACTCAGCCGTCACGCCGTGAAGAAAGGGTCCGGCCTGAAAAAGTGCACAAGTAAGACACTCGCTCGCCGTGGAAAAGGCTGTTTAATGTTATTTTTGTTCAAACTTTTAAACGCCGTGAGAACATTCTTCACACACATTTGGCTCAGGCTATGTTTTGCCCACCTATAAAATAAAAGAAAAAAGAATTAGAGCAACTATTCATCCAATGTTCAAACCTACAGTTAATCTCACTGCTCCTTTCAGGGCTTTCACAGTTTAGCGTGTTTACGCACATGGCTGTAACACGTGAATGGCTCAGCTGGGCTGCACGGGGAAGACCTCCGGCTCTGTCCCATACGTTCTGCAGCTGTGGAGAGCACAATCTGTCGTGAGGAAATCCTGTGCATTTCTTTTAAAGATGTGAACACCAATTAAGTGGTACGACGCATATTTAAATAAGGGATGAACGCATGTTTTGTCTTCGGTTAATTGGATTCTCCCTGTTCCTGAACTACCTGCTGGAATCATAGACCTCTCGCACCTTTGGCTTAAGGAGCCAGACGTTTTATCACTCATGCTCAAAGCCAGCTGAGGACTGAGCTCATACCACGATCTCAAAGCTAGATCCAGTAATTCTAGTGAATGATGATCAGGTTTGAATTTACATTCACATGTAAAAATGTATCTTCAGGTTATTTTGTTGAACCTTGGAAAATGAAAAACACTAATGTGTAATTATGGCCAGTGCGGCTCACGCGTGCGGGAGACTCTTCTTCAGGGGCACAAGGTTGCAAACTCACCCGTTCTCACATTATTACGGGCGATTTTACGTCTCTTGCCCATCTGAATAATGTTTTTTTGGGTGAACTTCAGACACTCACACGGAATTAAAGGAACGACCTCCTTGCTGTGAGGTGACGGTGCTCAGCGGTGCTATTGCGGTCATTAGCACTTTACTGCACATGAGGTTTCCTTTCCTGATTAATAATATTAGGTATTTAATATTCAGTGATCTAGATTTATTCATCAATTTGTTATGGCATTGACTTAAATGTTCAGTGAATCGGTTACCCAGTTTATACAGTCCATCAATTTTTAATATGAGCCTCATGCAGCAACGTCCTCTTGCATGCTTTCTTCAAGAGTCACCTCCAGATCCTCTGCTACAGGTGCGCCCAATGATCGACCCCACTAGGACGTTAATGGGAGGCGCGTGGCTCATGTGAAAACAAATTCATTGTTAATTGTGTATTCGAAGAAAAATAAGAGAAAATGTGTTATAGATATTTGCTCCATCGTGAGTTTGATTACCTTGCAATGGTGAACGCACCATTAAAGACACGGTCATTGTTTTCTGGGGCATGATTGGTTGATGCCACTGTCTGTGCCGTACCATTAACGGTTAACTCCCAGTTTAATGTGTAATGGGAACAGATGGTAATATTGAACTCCCAGCTTATTGAAATCAATGTGATGAAGAACCTTGAATAGTCTGACAGTTAATTAAACGTATTTCGACTCCATCACAGATTCCCGGCTTGTTGTTTAGTACTAAAACTGTCAAGATATGATATATCGCTATATGTTTACATTGCTGTGTACATTTAAGTCAATAAATGTAAAGAATATTTTGACTCAATCCCCTCAAAGGCTTCCCGGAGGAGGTTGACAGGTAGAACATAGAGATTCTGATTTGTATATTTACAGTTTCAATGGAAGGGTTGATATCCCCTTACGTGTAATTCTAGGAGTGACCAGTCCAATATTAAGAGCTAAGGAGTCTTTTGTAGAGGCTCAAAACTGAGTCTTTTTCATTTATAGACAATAAAATAATCCAGATAATAGATAATCCAACAAACGAAGATCTCGGCAAAACTGTAAACCAAACCAGTTCTGCCTAAAAGAGCTCTGACTAAATCCACTAGAGAGGAACTAAAAGTTTTATTCTTTTACTGGGCGATGGTCTTCACAGTCGCAACACTAAACACAGAGGGTCATCTGTCCTGTCGGGAAACGCTTAGCTGGATAAGCTAATGATGACGGATGAGTTAGTCGGCAGAATGGAACGAGAGGGCGAATATCGGCGAGCTCCTCGGGGGGCTTCCGTGGCGTTTCCGGGAGCACGCTGTCCGATCGGCACTCTGGATAACGCTCAGAACACGGGTTTTTAGCTATAAATAAAGTGTAAACACAGGGGTTTAAACGCAAACGCTTTTGGTCTTGCATTTAAAGAGTTTCATGGATCTTTTCACGACCCTGGAAAGAAAGAGGGTTAACGGGTTAATGTCTATATTACTATATTGTATATTAACAGCTTAGATGAGGAGCGGGATACAAAGGTGTTTTCTTGTTCTTTCCTTAGCAGTAATTCCAAGGGCGCAGTTTATTTTATTTTCATTTATGTTATTTTGTACTTTGTCAAACATTGAAGCCTTTACCCGCAAAGTGATGCTTGAATCTATTAATCGGCCTTTGTGCAGCTCAGTCTGCTGCCACAGAATGATTCATAGATTTTCTTTTTATATGGAGTCATATTTTCAGATAACGTGGTTAAGATGAATACAATTTAACATACAGAGTATCGGATTATGGTCACATAGGCGACACGACGAAGACTGAGCTGAGTTTATTTATAAAACACATTTCAGTGACAAGGCCATTCAAATCCCCTTACATTAAACATCAAAAGAACCCCATTAGGAACGGACATTTAGACACATTAGAGGCTGTTAAACCAGCAGAATATGAAACAGAGAAACATCTAAAATAGAAAAAGCTAAGGAGAGAAAATGATCAAATATCACCCGACTTATCTCTTTAAATAAAGATGGGCTGAGTGAAAAGATGAGGCCGTTCACTGGCTTTGTATTTCCTCTTCAGGTTTGTTAACAAGACGATGAGCATTAAAACACCATGACTCTATAAAACTAAATACAAAATAATGAAACTGAAAGTTGGAAAAACATGTCGACCATGGTTCTGATTACACTGATTGGGAATCCCGAGCACTCAACCAAATAATTGACTGAAGTTTTACTGTAAGACATAAAGTACCCAGTCAAAGTTAATCTAAAAGCTGACGATCCTGCAATGATTTCACGTTTTGACTACACCTTTGTACTCGCTTCACTTCGTGACTCTTGCGGTGGTAAACCCTCTCACCAGCGCCAGGTACCTGCAGGACGCAGTCCCTGGCTCTTCTATGACATCCCTCCTCATTACAGGCGTTTAAGCGTGAGCCATCCATGAGCCCTGCTTCACGGGGAGACAGAATCTTGCAGCATTTGTTGGAGGTTAAAGTGTGACACTCGCGGGGTTTCTCCCCCTGGAGGAGAGCTTTGCAGAGTGTCTGAGGCAGCTGTGAGAGAACCACATGGGGCGTGCTGCAGAATTATCGGTGTCCTGAGAGGGTTAGACGGCTCAGTGTGATCAAAGGATAAGGCGGGCATGAGAGACTGGGAGAGAGAGAAAAAAGGGTGAGACTTGTCTTTCATATGTGTACGAAGGAGGTTTAAATCTGACGTTGATTAATGTGCAAAAGAGCAGTAAGGTAGAGCAGAGCTTCATCCCATAGGCTCCCTCTTTCTCCTGCATATTAATGATGTGGGCACAGCAGGAAACCCAGCAATGCAGATAAGCCAAACATGTGCTTGGCTTTTTCATTCTAGCATCTATTTTTTAAACCGCTTACCCTGTTCGTGGACGCGGGATGCTGGAGCCTTTCCCACCGTGCACGTGGTTAGAGATTGGACATTGTTGTACGATGGCAATAAATACAACATGGATTATGTTGGAGGTGTTTGAGGGGATAGTTCCGTGCGCAGATCAGACAGAGGTCGAATTCAAAGGGAGTTTGGGCACGTTTTACTTGTCTTCTCAAAATAGTCTCACAGAATGACAGATCTTGAAAGACATCATTTCTGATTTTAGGATATTGCGATTAACATCTGTCACATTTGTGGATATTCTGTAGTCTAAATAAATTTAAAAACGTTTTTCAGAAATTAATCCAAAACGACAATAATTGTGAGCCCCAACCCTAAAAAGAGCTAGTAAGCAAATACGAGCTTTCAATTCAGATACAAGAAGTTATAGAGTCCAATGAAACAAATATTGAAATAAAGAAGAGCAGCCCACAGCGCCGGTGTCAGATTGGGTTAAGAGGCAGCTAAAATATTTTGGCAGGAAAGAACAGGATGGCCTGTGGCCAATCGCGAGATGAAAAATGGTCAAAGGTCTAAGCCCACACACACTGTCACAAAATGTCTCGCGTGACACCTCAGAGAGGAGGACACCCACACACTGCTTCACATTCTACTCCATCATAATCTTAATGGATTTCTCTGAAAAGACAAAAATGCCCACCATCAAAAAATGTGTGTGCCGGAGCCAAAACGCCAATGAGCGAGGGAGCTGGAGAGGGAGACGGAGGGAAAGGACGGAAATGGTCTTTCGGGGGAGGAGACAATACAAAGTTAGAGTGGTTTGCCCGCCAAGCCTGCGAGAGAAAAAAAATCACTCTCACTCCCGTCCTGGCTCGCGAGATTCCCAGTGGCATAAGCATGTAGGCCAAACTGTGACAATCTCTGTCCAATCAATGCCCCGTGGCCCTTAATTACTGAGCCGTAACCTCCAACAATAATTCATGCGTTTCAAAAGCCTCGTGAGATAATCGGGGGGCATTAAAAACCCTTCTGATCTGAAGCAAGAGCTGGAGATGCACTAAATGAAAGGTGGCGAACAGAAGGAGACCTTTGCTGATTTGGGGGCCAGCTCTCTTTCAGACCCAAGTGGCCTTTGGAAATGGCTTTCGCGTAAAGAGGACAGACGGATGCATGAAGAATTACTGATCCGTCATGACATGTTTTGGTGATGCGCCGCCGATCAGCTCAAACGTGGACAAAACAAGCATGAGCCAAACTGCATGTCAATTTGCGCCACTATAATTAACATGTATGCAAAGTGAAACATTTGTAAAACGTTTTGAGCCAAAATATTACAAGTTTGTGCTATATACTATTCCAGATAAGGACTTTGTACTTTCTATGCTGTATGTCATACAAAATCAAGAATTTTTAACACAACATTATCACAACAAATGTGATAATCCATCTAATAGCTATTTAAATATCTTGTTCACCACAATAGGAGCATTATTTTAATTTTCTACGCTAAATATGATGGAAAACAGCATCCTTTTACACATCCACAATGAATACAGATATTTCCTAAATGACTGCAGCACATTCCTCACTGTGTGCTTGTTAACTTCCAAAGCTTAACTAATAATTCCATTTGGCATATCCGTATATTGGGCTCCATCATTAGCTCCTCCCTGGTAATTAGTCTACTATTAATCTCAACTGAACACACCTGCTTTGCACATAAAGCGGAGTTTTATTGAGACAGCTTTACGATTCGAGGCTCGTGAGGAGAAAGGAAATGTTGGGATTGGCATGTTGTATCTCCCCCTGATGTGCCACCTCCTCCGAGCAATTAACAATCACAAAAACCAATGCAACACCCTGGGCCAGGATTAGTAAAGTCCTATCAGAAGTTATTACATTGAGTCGAGGGGATTATCCCTGTCCTGTGAATGCTTCTCTCCATTTCCTGGGTCTCTGATTCCTCTCTGACTTAATTCACAGTTGGACACTCGGTCAAGCAGTTCAGGATTTGATCACAATGGAACATATATCTGTTTTTTTTGTAAGTTGCTAATGGAAAACGGCATGAGGTGAGATATACTGTGTGCAACAGCTAATGGAATAGACGCTTAGGTCCCAGTTCTAATGTGTACAGAATCACTCAGAGGAAAATCCATGCATTCCTGCTTGAGAGACGAGGACAAGTTTTTGTTTTTAACTTGATGAGATTTCCCGGAGGAGAGAACCTTGCACTCCAGATATTGGAATTGATTTGCTCCTCTGCAGCGGCCCAGATATTTACCTTCTAGCTAATTGCACGAGGCAAGACCCATTTAGTGTAGAAAGACTGCGACTCACCCAGGAGCAATGTGTTTTATTCTGTTGGAATGATGCCACGCCCCCCATTTAAAAAGGTTCATCTCCACTGCAAGTGGACAGAATTGCCCTTTTCCATCCAGTGGGTGTTACACAAGGGTAGAAGAGTCGTATCTTTAGTTATTCTGTGAATGAGGTTCAAAATGGATGCTTCAAAAAAAAAAAAGATTTCTAATATTATGGATATTAGTTGTCTGGGGACAAGCGCTAACTACGCTATTCGTTATCAGCCTACTTCAAACGAGGGTCAGAGATAGACTCGTTGATACTTCTTCAAGCTGCATCCGTTCATTCATTCAAGCACTCGAGTCCTTATTAAGTGAACACATTTTTCTTGGTTGCGTGATGTGGCTGATTTGATGGAGGATTTCAAACACACTTGTGAAATGCTTTTCAGCCTCCCTCCGGATTGTTCAAACGTGCGACTCACACTTGACACGATTAACCATGAGCTTACCGAGCGACCACGCGGGTTTCATCACCCGTGATTTAACGGCATGTAAGCAATTAGCAAAAACTGCACTCGTGCCGTATAATAATGCACAATGTCTGACTTGCAACTTTCTGTGTCTTACAGATCAGGAGCGGATTGGAAAGGACTCAAACTACGAGCAGGAAGGAAAGGTGCAGTTTGTCATTGACGCCGTCTATGCAATGGCTCATGCGCTGCACAACATGCACCAGGAGCTGTGCCCGGGGAAGGTGGGCCTCTGCGCTAAAATGGATCCCATCAACGGCACTCATCTGCTGAAGCACATCCGCCGTCTGAACTTTGCAGGTCATTCGCGTTTACTTTTACTTGATTGGGTGTTTGTCTCAACTCAAGAGCCATTTAAACGCACTCAGGCAGTTCATTTCACAGTCTTGTCAATGATCCGGGTGGCTCAAAATCAGCTCTTGAATGGAGAAACGAGACCGAGAGGCTGCAGACACCTCGGCCTCCCTTTGATGCTAAGCTTAGGCTAACGCGCTGTCAATGCTAACATGGTCTTGTTGTGCAACTCCCTTCAGGTCGCATGATAATGTTTAAAATGTAGTCGTGCTGCAAAGATGAGAGTAAGAAAGTTTTTCATGAAAATAAAAAATGAGCTTCGCAAATCATATCACTTTTGCAATATATGCAAAGTAATCAAATACAGATGTATTTTATTCATCATTCAACCGATATAAAAAAGTAGAAGAAATACCATAATTTTATTCCTCTGTCAGAAATGTAGTGTTAAATTTCCTTGAGGGTTTTGGAAATGCTCAACATGTTTAGGAAACTGCCTTGTGAACCTTTTCCTCCATGAAGCCTCGTGTTACATTCAGCTCACAGTTCACATTCACGACTGACGCATTAATAATTAACCGCATTGACAAAAAGAGCAGTGGTCCTTAGTTTCATTATAGAGACACTGAAGCAGTTTGAGACAATTAAAATGTCCTCCTCAGAGACTTGAGTATGCAGTGTTTGTACAGATAAATTATTCATTTGAACTCTTCAAACCAATTTGTCATTTTAATATCGACTTGTTGCAGTGGTAAAATGTCAATTTAATAGTTAATTTATGTCTGAGAAGTGAAAAAGTATTTCTTAATTGTATTTAATGTGAGATTTTGAAGACTATTGCGTTACAAAATAAGTGTGTGTGTGTGTGTGTGCGTAGTGAGTAAATGGAAATATTGGGAATTTTGGTTAGTGTAAGAACAAACGTCTATTCGACATGATTCTCGTGGTTTGTTCAGGTAAATTCACATTTCATCTGTATGTCATCTAGTTTTCACATTACTACTTATGGCAAGTGAAGAGTTTGAAACTTAAAAGGCGAACACGTGGCGGCTTTGTGTTTTGTTTTGTGATCATTTATACCAGACATTGCGATCATAGTTAATAAACAATAAACAAATGAGAACGATGGCATACTGCTAGTGATAGTGGAGGAAATTTCAGATTCATAGATTACCCAGTTTCACATTTCACCCCGCCAGCACATGAAGCTCCAGTGAAGCATTTTCCTGAATTTTGATCTGAACAGGCAACACGATGTGACCAGAGAGGTTGCCTCACACTACACTCGTGCAATTGCATCAGCACGCTTTGTTGTATAAAACCTGCACAGATACATAGAACAACATACTGGACTGGCTGGTTTCTGAGAAAATACTTCTCTCTGCTGTGCTGTGGTGTCGATATCCTACACGCCAGTAAACCTGCAGCGTAATCAATCCTTTTCTTCTCACAAACGAACAGCAGACTCAACAAATGAATGCAAAAGTAGGGCATTTCTTGTTATTGTGATGACTCATTCTTGAGGCAGAGCCAGCAAGAATCTATTGTTACACACGTCTCTGTTTGCTTTCAGCCGTTTTAGTGGACATCAGCTAAAAACAATTTCACATTTTCTTCCACTGCAGAGCCGCACAGCCCTCGAGAGTCCACTCAGAACGAGTCCTTAAACGCATCGCGTCTTGCATAAGTAATGAAGCTCTGTTGATAAAGGTCAAATGTCAAAAATCTTTTGAAAAACCCAAAGGCCCTCGTAGTGGCCTTACAACTGGCACGCTCACGAAACCTTTTATCCGGGATGCCTCGGTGGGCCGTCAGGGTCTCAACAGGGGACACGGTAAGCTCGCTCATGACAGATAACCTTTTTAAAAAAGATGAAAAGACTCGGTTGCACCGTTGGGATATTTCCGGTAGTCTCTGCGGGCTCAAGTACTTTTACTTGAAGGCTGTACAGTTCATATTCCAGCCACTTGTACTTTATTTGAGTATTTTTTATTTTACTTCCTCCTTCTACTCCATCAAACCTCTGGGACAAATGTTGTGCTACATTTATCTCAGAACCACGGTCGCGGTTGAGAGGACAAGTCTTCATATTCTTCCCATCCAGTGAAAACATCCTATCCTTAAAATTATACTTTATAGTACCACAGCAACAAGCTGAAATCTGCTGTTTTTCTTTGGGAGATGCAGGGTCACATGATCATGATAACATGGTATTTAAATAACAACCCAACATAAACATTTAGGCACTAGTCATATTAATCCAAACATCAGTAAAACACATTTTTATTTTATTATGTCTAGCTTATGATACATTTACTTGTATTATTTCCATTGTGTTATATTAATAATGTCTTTAGTGTTTCCACCACTGGATGTCTCTTAAAGTTGTAGCTTATTCTACATCCTCAACTCTTCAAGTGCTCCTTTGCTTCTTCGGCGGCGGCCCACGGAGCCGAGCAATCAAACGCCTGCAGCCTTTGTGCTGTTTGACTGTCGCCTTCAGAGATTCCCTCTGTCTTCTTCCCACCTCGGCGTTCCTGCGTGTCGAGGAGTTGCCCAGACTTCAATGCGCCACAATTGAATGAAGCTTCTCATCGGGGTTTCATGTCGGGGGAAAAGTGCTTTTAGCTTTTTGCCGCAGACCCAAAGAGCGGCGTCCTTTCCGCCGTCATTGTCACCAGAGGCAGCTGTTTTGGTGTCTGGGAATAACGTCGAGTTCTGAGTGTTTCCCGTCACTGCACACGGTGAGAACACGCTTCTGGTGGGGAAAATGTCCTTTTGTCATTTTCCTTTCCCCGGCACGGTGAAAAGGCCTGTTTGCGTGCAACAACAAAAAAAATGTCTATAAGCATATTGAAATCATAAGAATGGAGAGCAGCAGATACAAGGCTCAAGTATCCCACAACCTGTTGTGCGCACAGTAAGATGTGCAATAGCCTGTCCATTGTATTATAATGTTCAAACAGTGGCTACTCAACAGAAGAGAGAAGCACGACATTATTTAAACACAATATATACCTGTGCAATTCTACCGCGACTTAATCACAGAAATCGGTTGAAATTAATGAAAGCAGTATTTTGGTTTTGCAGTGAGATTACCGCTGTAAATTTTCAGAACGATGAAACAGAATTCCCATCGTGTGGTTTCACAAAGTTAGAGATCACTTGTGGATAGAAGAAGCTTCTGATTGAAGCGTCTCGCAAAGGTCTCGCCGAGGACACGCAGGAGCAGGAAGGACACGCGGCGACGTTGTGTCCGCGGAGTGCACGCGCGTTGAATTCCGCACGACTGGCCGGCGTGCGGGTCGTTGAGAGTTTATCACCGGGTACGGGGGGCGGCGAGCTGTGCTGTCACTCGCCGAGGTGTCCCGCTCGTGCATCCGTGCAGAGCAAAGCACGTGTTGGGTCAACGGTCACGGTCAGGTGACCCTTCAGGTGTGTGGGAAGAGAGGCGCTGCGGTAATGCAATAATCATTAAATATCACATATAATTACATGCTCCTCATTAACCCCGCCACGTTTCTTCGAGAGGAGGCCCATGCGTGCGCGACCCCCGGGGGGCCCGCGCTGTCACATTAGTGCACGGCGCGTTGGCAGCGGCGGCAGACGCCTGTGATGGGACGCGTTACGCCCCTGACTGCTGAGAGGACTGTTTAGACAAGCGAATTTGTGCCACATGACAGGCCTAATTCCTCATTCCTCCAACATTGACCATATGCCCCCAAATGCACCGCTGTCTTCACTCTTAATGAAGTGGACGACGGAACAGCGACAGCGACCCCGACCGTTATTCCCCCATGGAGCCTTAATCTGTCGATTCCTTGCTGTGGACACAGAAGACGGATTTGTCTTTTCCATTTGTTTTACCGTAATGGGGGGGACCACATGAGGTGCGCGATGCTCTGTTCAAACACGCAATTCAATCTTATTATTTTGAATGTCTATTGAAATTTTAAAGTGGCATTAAATGAAACTATTATATTTATTTGGCTGTCCTCAAGGAAACTCTCTCAATCTGCCGTGTGGAGATAAATAGACACAAATGAAGTCATTTGGCTTCCGCAGCTGGAAGCACCACAATGGAAAAAGAAGTAATATGCGTAACTACTTTAAATTACTACTTTTTAGTTGGGGACGTTGTTTAATTTTTGAGCTACGCTTCCCAGAAATGATTCCATCAGCGCGATCGGTGCTGTGTTACATTCGCGGTGGTTGTCGCTGATTGAACTCAGTACACAGATTAGATTTGTTTTCTCAGGGAAGTCAAACCCGACACCTGAGGCAGCACAGTGGAAGCTCCCGTGATGAGAGCGGTGTTTCAACAGCAACTTCCATCAAGAGGGAAATTAGGATAAAACTGACACACCAGTCAACTTATTGTGCATAATCGAGCAGTGGAAGACAGAGCTGTCAATCTATGTGAAATGTCTTGAACAAAACCAGGTAGCAAATAGATTATAATCATACACAGTAACCCCAATGATGGTATTCAGGGTCCATTTGCCTCTATCAGCGAAGAAGGCTTCCATTTGAGCACTTAGAGCCTCGAGTACACAACCCCAAACAAGACAGCGGTTCAAGAGCTTTTAACGGCCCAGGAAAATGGTGAAAAAGGGAAAAAACGAAATCTTCAATGGAAAATATAACAGCTCACAAATAGTGTTGTTATGTGCTTAATATATTTATGTAAACATATTGCCTCGCAGCTTTATAAAGTCACCGTAATCCTCCCATGATCACCGACTGCTTTGTGATGTGGGCGGCATTGTCACAGATGCGAGGCTGAGTGAAACCGTGCCGCTGTAATCCAGCGGGCTGACTCATCGAGGAAGGGATTAAGCATCCTTCCACCACCAAAACACAAAAGCAAGAACAACAAAAAATAAAATCCTCATCGGCAGGAACCCATCCGCAGCAATTGGTCACGTTAAACTTTTTTGTTCGTGCTTGATTTGTCTGTTTCTGAAGGTAAGGAGTCTTTTTTGTGAAGGTTGATGTGAAAATCAGACAAACAAAAGTCCCCCTTTTCTCCCTCTGAGGAAAACCGCCCCACCTCGCTCTCCTGGAAGTGCGTTTCAACCAGTTACAGAGACATCTGCGGTGGGCTTTTCCCTGTGACGCATCGCCACAGCTGGTCTTACAAACGGCACACAGGAACAGTGTAGGAGGAGGACACGGTGTTGTGCGTTTGAGGGCTTTTGTGCGCTATGACGGCAGATTGTCATCCGGTATGATCTTTTTTTTCAACACCATTTCAAATTGCTTCCTTTCGACAATGTTTGAAAATTGCAAAACACTGTATTTTTAAGGTGAGGACACTTCAATATTCAATTGAAGTGTGATCTAATTTGATAATCAGACTGAGTGGCCTTTTCGATTTCTCTCCAGGCGGGGGGATGTTTTGTTTCGCTTCATCCAATCAGTGCCAATTGATTTGTCCGTCTTGCTGACATCATTTTCGTTTTAGGACTTTATGACCCAATTTTTTACAGAGGTAACCAAGTTCTTAGCCACCTGTATTATGTGGCCATCCCACCAACAAGGCTTTGGGAGAATGATCGCAGATGAACCACTGAACAAACCTCAGACATTTGTGTGGTGATTTTAAAATATGAAACCCGACTTGGGGAGGAATATGAAGACATCTATTTTTGGTCCGAGGAGGGTACTTGAACCACAATCTTCAGCACGACAATTTGTCGAGCTAAACGCCGGCTCACCTCCACAACCTCACATTTCCACATAGCTGGCAAGCGGAGCTCTGCAAGTGGGAAATGAAGATGAAGCATATGCACTCAACCGGTCCAAAATGAACATAATTCCTTGTGTACTTGCTGAAAGTTCTCATTAGGACACCGTGGTGACTGCTCGGCCATTTTGACAATAAAGTATTGCATAATTTGGGTTTGTAATTTAGTGGAATGACAACTGTGCCATTAATGACAACACATTTGTTGGTCGCCACACAGAACGTGACAATGTGCAGTAAATGATGATGATGATGATGATGATTGTTCTCTCATTTAGGCATTGCTGGAAATCCAGTGCTCTTCAATGAAAACGGAGACGCTCCTGGACGATACGACATCTACCAATACCAGATCCAAAACCAAACCGCAGAGTACAAGATAATTGGCAACTGGACGGATCAACTCCATCTCAACGTAAGCGTCGCCTTTGCCCTTTGGTGTATTGGATGGAGTCTGTGTTCGCTCACAGACTCCATCCAAACCATTTGATAGTGCTTAGTGCCAAAGGTGTAAATATCCACAGGGCGCTTTTAATGATTAACAGGTTGGACTGTGATGAAAAGAAAGCCACTGGAGCTTAAGTACAGACATATTTAATATCATCTCTCCAGACACTGACTTCCAAAAAACAAAAGTCACGGCATTATAACAGTGAATTACATAAAGCTACCAAACCAGTTCTGTTTTGACAAAATAAAGAGGACGCCTTAGGCAGAGACTACAACTGAACAAATGAAGCAGCTTGAGAGGAGCTTTGCTTTCTTTACCTTTTGAAAAAGGGCAAAAGCAACGTTTCTGGTGGTCACCTACTGTGGAACGGGCCAGTTCTGACTCTAAAGCCGTATTTAATTAGGATTCTTTGACTTCTTAATTAAATGCACACTTAGAGACACATTTAGCGGCTTTGAATGAACTGCCAAAATTGAATAAAAGTGATAACGTAACATCACAGAGCGTGGACGTGTTTGAATTGACGTATTTCATTTATCTGTAAGAGTAAAGCAGGAAAATCCACAAGAAGAGCAGTACCCTTAAACGGGATTAATCTATTTGTCTTCTGATCGTAAACAGCCGAACAACCACATACCAAAGAGAAACCCTCTCAGTTCCTCATGTTTCCTCTTGAGTCTAATTTTTCAAATTCGACCCCCAACAGGAAGACATTTGAACCCTTGTTTGCCGTCTCCAACCCCAAATACGAGTTCAAACATCAATAAAGTATCCCTTTCTCCACATTACATCATTTTAAACAGTCTAGCACAAAAAAGATGTTCCCATCTGCATTTTGTCCCCCGTTGTCTACCCGCTAATGTCTGTCCGTGTCCCCTTTTGCAGGTCAGTACGATGCAGTGGCCCCGCGGCGGCCGCCACATCCCGTCCTCCATCTGCAGTCTGCCCTGTCAGGCCGGCGAGCGCAAGAAGGTGGTGAAGGGGATGCCCTGCTGCTGGCACTGCGAACGCTGCGACGGCTATCAGTACCAGGCGGACACCTACACGTGCAAGATGTGTCGCTTTGATTTACGGCCCAACGGCAACCACACCGGCTGCGTTCCGATCCCCATCGTGAAGCTGGAGTGGAGCTCTCCGTGGGCCGTCTTCCCCGTGCTCATCGCCGTCGTCGGCATCATGGCCACCGTGTTCGTGGTGGTCACGTTCGTCCGCTACAACGACACCCCCATCGTGAAAGCGTCGGGCCGGGAGCTGAGCTACGTGCTGCTGACTGGCATCTTCCTCTGTTACGCCACAACGTTCCTGATGATTTCCACCCCCGATGTGGGAATATGCTCCCTGCGGAGGATCTTCTTGGGTCTCGGCATGAGCATCAGTTACGCCGCCTTGCTCACCAAAACCAATCGCATTTACCGCATCTTTGAGCAGGGTTCCATGTGCGTCAGCGCACCCCGCTTAATTTCTCCAGCCTCCCAGCTTGTAATCACGTTCACCTTGGCCTCGGTGCAGCTGCTCGGGGTGTGCATCTGGTTTGGCGTGGACCCCTCCAAGGCCATTATCGACTATGAGGACCAGAGGACCTCGAACCCGGTGATGGCTCGTGGCGTGCTCAAGTGTGACATCTCGGATCTGTCTCTCATCTGCCTGCTGGGCTACAGCATGCTGCTCATGGTCACCTGTACAATCTACGCCATAAAAACCAGAGGGGTGCCGGAGACCTTCAACGAGGCCAAGCCCATCGGTTTTACCATGTACACCACCTGCATCATTTGGCTGGCATTCATCCCGATCTTCTTTGGTACTTCACAGTCCACGGAAAAGGTACGCTTACAACAATACTTTTTGTTTTTCTTTCATCAACTAGCTCTTCATATACGGTAATTAAGTACATCTACTCAAGTACCTGCTGATGTACAATCTTGAGTTACTTTTTGAGTTACATTTTTTTGTTCGTATCCTTCACTGCATTTCAGACGGCAGTGTGTATTTGCACTATATTTCTTTGACATTTTTAATTACAAGTTACTTTACACAACGTTTGTCTAAAGTACTAAACATAATATATGATTAAGCATCGTTGACGATCAATTACTTAGCAAAGGTTACTAAGCTTACTTAGTAACTTTAGACTTGTCACTAGAGAGAAAGTCTTCTGGCATCGCTTTCTCTGACCAGGGAACAGCTGAACCAAATTATATTTTATCCTCCTTTATCCTAATTTTTTAACCCGTCACATTTGTGATAGACCATTAATGGGGGTCTCGGCCCACAGATACGTTTTGATTAAACTACCCAACAGTAGGCCTATTTAAGGCACATATAATGAGGTCAGCTACATTATACTCCAGTTTACACATGAATATAAATCATTATTATAGGGAATTATAATATACCTTTTATAATATACCTTCTCTATTCTCTAGTAACTTCTCTAGTTATTCTCTAATAACTCTAAAAATCGATGTGCCTGGGACCTCGTGTGCCTGCACACCTGGATCTCATCCATTTGGAGCTCTGTGGGGGGCGGGACCACGGGTCAAGTGGGAACCGAAAGGGTCATGGGGGCTGCCTGGCTCGGAGCGCGGAACTCCCATTCGGGGCGGACGACCCGTCTACGGAGCCAAAGGGGTAAAACAATGACAGTAAAACTGTGTAGATTCAGTCAAAAGACGGTATTCTGGCAGCTCAACGAAATGGACTCAAGTGCAGAGGAGTGCTGAGGGGAAAATCCTCACACTGGCATGGACACTATCAGCGGTGCCAGCGTGGGTTCGACAGATGCAACAGAATAATCCTTACCTCCTCCCCTCTAGGATTAAACAAAACAATGCATCAAAACCCTGGCCCTGAAAAACTGGCCTTGATAGTTACCTTTGTGGGAGAGGAAGAGAGAGGGAGAGGGAGAGAGAGGCCGTGTGCATTGTGTCAAGCTCAGCATCCCAAACAATAACTTCCAGTAAAGTCCACTACTGCATTGCAGGATATCTGCATATGACTGCAGTCAATTGAATTACATTAATAACGCAGTATGTGACCTGCAGCACAATGACTTATTTTCATATGCTGCATGTTGTGTTGCAACCGTGGTCCTTCCCTCCTGTTGCACAGCAGCAACATGTTGAAAACAACCAGGGACCTGCTGCTGCTTAACAGATGCCGCTTGTTACGCTGCATTTACTGAAATATATCAAACGAAAGTGTTCCGAAATGTCAACCAGAGCCTCGTCCCTATATTAGGCACGCAGCAAAGAAAAAGCAATCCGAGTTCAAAGTCCACGTTATTTTTTAATGTGACTGTTGCACATCTTAAGTCGCATGTCAACAGCATCCGGGGATATCAGCGAGTTCTTTGTTTAATCATTCCATCTCTCTGAAGATGAAAGAGAATAATGCAATCTCGGAGAACTGATTTTTTTAGGAGGATGAGGTAATCCATTAGCTAGCATGGCTTTGAATAGTAAAGTAGCAAGGAAAAAAAAAGTGTTGAAGGGTATGTCCTACTTTCTGCTCCCTCTTCTTCCAAACCCTGAGAAACTTTTCTCATTCTGCTTAAATAGGAGGCACTAAAATGATATTGTTCACTCATTAATAATTATTTCCCGGAGAAAGCTGAACAAACAATGTCTACAGGACAAACTTCTACCATTGCCCTTAGCGTTGTTAAGGTGATGCATAAAATGGGGAAATCTTGCTGCAGGGAAATGTGCTACTTTTCCTTCTGCACATGAAAGGGAATAATCCTACATTCATGCGTTAGAGTGTAGGAGAGTAGGACAAACTCTAATTCACACTCTAATAGTGTTTAGTCTAGACCATGCAGAGAGTTGCTTTGTTATTGAAGACGTTCCTCCCAAGAAAAACGACAACTACAATCCATAAAATAAAAATATGTTTACGTTAATATCGACAGCCGAGTGACGTGTTGTGACGCGATCAGACTCTGTCTCCTAATTCCAACTTCCCTCGTCTGTTAACGCATGGCCTGAACCCGGCGCTTGCTTTCCTAACCTTGACTAAGAGTAGTAGTTTTAACACAAACCGTTATGATAAGCGAGTGGGTGGTAACTAAGTGCGTATTTTTTATTGATTTATTTTTGATTTAGTATTGCTTAATACTTTCTCACATGGTCTGAGTGTTTTTTCCACCACTGAAAACGAATAACAAATAACAAATAATGTTATTGTGTATATATATATATATATATTGTATGTAACAACATATTTTGCATAATTAGCTCTGCTGTGCCATGCATCATGTGAAAGAAAAAAAAACTTTGACAGATTCGCTGAGCGGTTACATAAAAACATTCTTATTTACGGAATTAACCCGTCAAAGCAAACACACCTCGTAATCATTTGACTGTAAGTGACAGCCTGCACAAAGCCCCGCAGCCCACTTTGACACGTCTTTCAGAGCAATTAATCGCTCCGCTTCCTCCGGGTCTTGATTTACCTTATCGCGCCGCCTATGTGCTCATCACCACTCTACAGCGGTGCCTCTCCGCCTCGGCATTACGAGCGCACGGGCATCTATTTGTCATCTGGTGCCAGGGTAAGTGTAACAAATGCCATGGCAGTCTTTCACCATCATTCAAACGGGCACATCTGGTCCGTCTATGGAGCGTGATCACCGAGCGTTAGGCCGGCATGGGAAATAGACGTGACGCCTGCTCACCTGGAGGAACGGTATAAATCAGCGACAGAGGCGGGAGGCGAGGCGGCGGACAATAGCCGCGCAGGGGAACGAGGCTTCGCCACAATGGGCTCAGTTCAAATGCAATCAGCCCACACAATGGGGCCCTGCTATTACGGTGCGTGAAGGCACTGATGAATTGCGGGGGTTTTATTCATTTCCCTATGAAGTCTCCCTCACACTATTGGCCGTGTCGACCCGACCACAACAACAAAAGTAAAACTGCTGTTCGTGCACAACGCGGACAAAGAGTGGGAGTTTGCAGTGAGCCCAGCGAGACCAGATGTCAGACGGGCGCGTTATTCTCCGCTACCTGTAACCGCGTTCCCACGGCCCCCTTCCGTCTCTCTCTTCTTCTCAGCACAAAGCCTAACAGCATTATTCGCACTAACGTGCCGCAGGCCCGGTGTTACGTAATGAAGATTGACGCATCAGAGCAGAGGGAGCTGCTCGGCAGCCTCTCCGACCCTCGGAGAGCAGTCGTTGCGTTCATTAGGCCTGTACATGCGAGCAGCCTTCTTGGTCGTGGCCATTGACCCCTGGGTGCTCCAATAATAGCAGCGAGACGTCGTGAGGCTAATCAGGCTGGAGAAATCGTGATCTTGGTAGATGACATTCTCCCATGAAGCTATATCACTGTGTCCCCCAAGGCTTCAATTTGTTTATTAGCTTAATTAGAGTGTAATTACAGTGAATTCTAATGGAGCCGGCCCCACTGCTGAACACTTCCACAGCATGCTGAGAAACAAGGCGGCTGCTTGATGTAGAAAGTAATTTGCATCCTGCAGCAGAAACTCTCTGGAGTCGCTGGTTTGAAAATAGAATCTGTTTGCATTTATTAACCCTCAAATTGATCTGGTGTTTTCAGCCAACGCAGACTCTCTCACTCGTCCTCTCTGTAGGCAACAATGTGTTATTTCATTAACTCGTCTCATCATGAAATGATAACCCCCCCGTTGTTTTCCTCTGCGTCTAGTTCAGTCATTAATGCTGCCATACAGCGCTGCTCCTGTGTTGTGTTCTGCTCGAGGCAAAATCTGCTGATTGCAATGCGACAGGCGTGCGAGGCACACGGCAGCTGACTGCTCCGTGCACGTCAGCTGCACAGAAATCAGGAGCAATCAAATGAATTGATTGAAAACAAGGAAGCAAAACAAACTCAATGGCTAATTTCCCGTATTAATGGCATTGAAGTGCATTTAGATTGCTTTACTTAATGCTTGAGAGCGATTCAGGGCGACCGAGCTAACTAGCGGGGTAAGCTAACGGATCCTACATGTCGCACATGTTTGTCCTTCTTTCGCAATCATCCTAAAATCCAATACAAAGTGACCACAAGCATGTCCGTTTCATCTGGGGTTGAAAGGCGGGACAGAGTTGGTTTTCCTCTGCGGGCAGCAGCTTGGGTTCAGCCGTCCGTCCACGAGGCAGCAGTGAAAGGAGCCCGGAGGGGTTTGCTTTGTCACCCTCCCTATAACTGGGTGGTGGGGGTGGGTGGAGGGGGGGCACGGCAGCTGTCCCTCCGGCACACGGGCCACATTCTTCCATCCTTCTCTCCGGCCAGCAGTCCGACATGGTGTGTGTGTGTGGGGGGATGTGGGGGAGTCACAGACAATAACCATGCAAAAAAACATACAATTCAAGTCAAGGTGGCTGATGACAGCTCACTTTGCAAAGTAAAATATTTACTGTTGAAGCTAAAAGGCATCTTGTATCATGGCCACGTGATCGTGATCTGCAGTGAGACCGCATATACTTTAGTCCGCAGTGGTTTAACTACTGTTGTAAATCACTTTCTGCAGCAGTGTTTCATTTTGAGAAGCTGCTTTGTCCTTCGTTCCGTTAGGAAAAAATAACGCTCATTCCATTATGGCAATAGTTTTTGATTGGAAGAAATCCATTTCTGTATTTCTGTATTTAATAAATTGCCTTTGGAAGACGGGAGCTGCATGTATGACTCATTAAATGCCTTTATGTGAAATAAACAAAAGCAGCTTCCGCTTGAGGCAGAGTAAGAACCTAAAGTGGGAGAAAACAGTGGTGATAGATTAAGTTCTCTACAATAGCAGACCAGATGCTGGAACGTCAGGCACGTTTTTTGTTTTTTTTCAGAAATACAAGCAAGTCAACAAATAAACTATATTTCAATCCGGAGAGACTTGTTGAAATTTGAACAATGCTTTATTATAAGGGTGTAATATGATATTGCAAGTTGTTTGGGGCTTGGACTCCATCCTGCCGCTGGATAGACCCGGGGCCGGGATCTCGAGCCGAGACGAGGCATATCCCCCCCTTTGGGAGTCCAAACACTGGTGGTGGTGGTGGTAGAGCCCAAGTTGCATGACTCTCCCGCTATGCCAGGTTCTGCTGTAGATTGGAGGTGTCCGGGGTGGTGGCGGGTCACCTTTGGAGCGTGCTGAAATGACAACTCACAGCAAAAGAGAAGAGAACAGTTTTTTAACGTTTGCCTGCCCCAATGCGATTGGTTTACGGTACCGACACCCACGTCTGATACTACCCGCCCCCGCCCCTAATCAGCTGGCCGTGCCCCCCCAGGGAGAGAGGAGGCCACGGCACAGCCTGTCCAGTCTTCCTGACTGAATTTTTGCCTAAGCTTCATTTAACCTGATATAATAATTTCACAATTGTGTCCTATTCACTGTTAGCCAATCAATGTCTCTGCTTTTTAACGTTGTGTTTATTTGTGTATTTGGAAGCCTGTGCCTTGAACATTTTTGTCATTTACAGGTTCAGATGAGCATTATCACTTTCTTATTAACATTATTTCTCAAACCTCACCCAGTGGGTCGAACCATAGCTACAAGACATCTGCCTCAGATATTACAGCATATAGCCCGAATAAATAACAGTAAAATACTAATACTAATAACTAGGTGATGTTCTAGAGCATCATTATGAGCAGGTATCATCTTGTATTCGTCGTCACTCCGTTTAAAGCTCCGCACAAGAGGATGCTGATTTGGATTTCAACTCATCATCGGTATTAATCATCATCGCCTGCATAAACTACTCGATCTGCTTATCCAGCAACGCTGGCCAAGTGAAGAGGATCCAATGGGCTGCGGTTATCAAACGTGTTTTCAGGATGGCGTGATGGTCATATTAAAAACCACCGTGGCAGAAAATTAAACAAACAAAGTGGCCATGGCTGGTTCAGCACGCGCCGTAAAAGCAGATGTGATGCTGATTTAAAGTAGGTTTTTCAACACCACGAGTAGTTAATGGTTTTAAAAGCCGCGATCGGACTCAGTAGAAGGAACTTTCACAACCGCTTGGCAGATGTCACTCCCCAAATAGAAAGATCTGTGAGCTCCAGTGCCAAGGAAAGACTAAACTCTGTGTGTGTGTGTGTGTGTGTGTGTGTGTGTTGTTGCATGTTGTTGTTTTTTTGCCTCTGGCAGATGTACATCCAAACAACCACACTGACCATCTCCGTGAGCCTGAGCGCCTCCGTGTCCCTGGGGTTGCTCTACATGCCCAAGGTCTACGTGGTGCTCTTCCACCCCGAGCAGAATGTGCCCAAGCGCACGCGCAGCCTGAAGGCCGTGGTTACCGCCGCCACCATGTCCAACAAGTTCAACCCCAAGGCCGGACTCAGACCCAACGGAGAAGCCAAGACCGAGCTGTGTGAAAGCCTGGAGACGCAATGTGAGTGAACACGGCCGCTCAGGAGGAATTCTCTGACCAGGAACGCGCCGTTCCTTTTACCCGGGCATGTTGTGTCCTGCAGTGTGTTGTGATGATGCAGAGTTGAAATGAATTACCTACAAAAAAGATATGTGGCATGTTATTTAACAGCTCGTTGAATCCAGTAACCACTGTTGTTTATTTGCGTGTTACTGAACGTACTCTGCAGCTCAATAACAGATTTATTCTACTTCAGTAAAACCTTAATTGTCATTCTCTTTTCATTATTTCGTTGAATTTAGCGGCTACACCTGAAATCTAACGCCACATGCTAAAAGGTATTTTCCTTTTTTTGGCTATTTACACGTCTAATACTGAAAGAGTTGATTTCTTGATCAGTCAGAATACAAGTTTGATCCTTGAATAATTGTTTGTTACGTTTCTAAGTTTCTTATAACTAGGTTGTTCTCTCCTGGTGCTGTTAGTCATAGATAAAAGGTTTATGTTGGAAAGTTTGGCAGTAAATAAATCCAGTGATAACATTCGCTTAGGAAATGTCAGAAGACAAAGCTTAATGACACCTATTCGACTTACTTATTTCTATCTGGCCAGTAGTCAATACTTCAAATGTATTCACTGTTATCAGATGTCACACAGGTCCTGACCTTCAAGCTGCTTCAACAAGCTGAAAAAAAAAGACTAAACGCTTTCAAATACGTATATATGTATAAATGTATTTGCTAGTCGTTTCTGCTGAAGACTTTGGAGCTAATTGTAAATAAAGAAAGAACCACATAATTATTAATCAAAAATACAACAACCTGTTCTGAGGCAGCTGGTTCTCCTGTTCCTGATGACAATAGCATTACCGTATCAGTGACGCAGCGCTAAAGTAAATATTGACCTCTTAATCATTCATGTCTGTATTAACAAGGAAACTGAGCCTTTGTCACACAAATGTCAAAGCCGGGTTGAGTCCAGAAATGTTTCCCTCCACAGAAGAATAGAAGAGCTGACAATGTATTCACAGAAAAGCAAATCGGATAAAAAACACTGTGGCAACAGATGGCACATTGTGGCGAGGCCCATCAGCAAAGATACATGTCAACACACATTGCAACATTAATTCCTATCTCGCTTCAAGTTTCTGTGGAGGGTTAATAGGGCCTTTCGTTACAATAAGTCAGACGGCAACGGCGCTGAATTGATAGCCGGCGGCAATTTGTCCTGATGGGCTTCTCGTTTACAGGCGCCGTACAGTCCGTGGCTATTTGAATAAGCAACATTTGTCATTGTCATCGCCACCCTGGATGCATCGCTTGATGAAATTGAAAAATTCCTGTCCGGCTCGGCTCCCCGGCAACTGCTGCTGTGATTGGGTGGCGATGTGTCAGGATTTATCTGCTCCACCTCAGCGAATCAGCTAACACAGTTTGGGGAAACAAGTGGAAAGTTGAAGCCTGATAGCTGGAGGAAAAGGAGGTGTGATGGGGGGGGGGTTGGCTTTAGTAAACCCTGCTGTAGGTATTACAGGCATGTATTCAGGACAAAAAACAGAAGTGGAGAGTTGAGGGATCTTTGGGAATGATTGGCATTTACCCTACAATGCAACATGGGGAGTAAATAAAGCAACTGAACACATTTTCTCCCTTTATTTGACATTTTCTCCAACACTCGTTGCATCAGGAAAACAAGGCTAAAGAAAATGGCCACACTCGCTCATTAGTGTTCCTCATCAATAGTGCAGAAGTTATCCCTGACTCCATATGAGTCTCAATACACCCTCTTATTCTTCCTCTTCTCTTTCAGCTTTCCCGACAAAGCAAACCTACATCAGCTACAGCAACCACGCAATCTAATGACCACAATGTCCACATCGGCGGAGTTTCACCCGGTCGGCATGGGAGACGGGCGTGCCGTCGTCCGGCGGGAGATCACCAAAGCGTTGCCCAAAGGCGCCGCGCGGCGAGGGACCGCGGGGGGACCGAAACAGAAAAAAACACGGCGTGGTTGCAGTTTCCATCTTCTGTCCTCCTCACAAGATTACACACACACACACACACACACACACACACAAAAAAAAAGAAAAGAAAAAATGTAAAAATACGTGCATGGCAGCGGCTGATGGATGGAGCTTTCCTTTTGAGTGTTTACATTTCAGCTGTGCCCTCTTTCAAAAACCCTCTCCGTCGCCGCCGGCGTTGATGACTGAAACAGAACTAAGATCAACAACGTGTTCAGGTGTTCGCAATGTCGTCTGCCAGTTTTGGAGACTGTAATCAATCTAAAAACCCTCGAGACGCCGCAAGGGATTAATCGACACCAAAAAGGCATGAAAACATTGTGCGTGGATTTCTGAACAGGGGAGGAGGCTTGTGTTTTGTATTTTATTTCCAACTGTACTCCGGCCTCATGAGTCTCAAGCGGCTGGAAGCGGTGATCATCCTCTCGACAACGCAACAAATCCCTGCCAGACCAAAAGTTTTTTGTTTTTTTCAGGAGTCAAGAAGGAGTACGCGTATAAGATGGTCTCTGCTGATTTTGAGCATGCCAGTTTTAACATCCTGTGTTGTGTTGTTAAAAAAAAAAAGAAACGAAAAAAAACCCCAGATATCTTTGGAATGCGTTTAAACTCTGTTGCAGCGTTGTTAACAATTTGTTTTGGGCCCGAGCCCGTCGTACGTTTTAGAAACTGTTGGTGACGGTCTAGTGAGTGATTATTTATCTGTGCTTAAAGTGAGGCCATGATTTGTATTACCAGCTAGCCGAAGGCTGCCACTGCCCTCCACACGCCTGTATGTGCTTTGAAACAATGGCTCGTGGTTACCATCAACCGTGTTTGGACCGCGGGAGACGTTACTGCAAGCCGTCGTCCAGGATCGACCCCCCCCCCACCCACCATCACTGCCACCAGCTTTTCTCCTGGTCACACGTAGTGTAAGGGTAAAGCTTAGCTGAAGACATCCATTAGGAGGGGGAATTAAGATGAAGTGTGCCCTTGAGGGGATTGTGCAATATGACCTGAAGGTGATATCCGTAATGGACCAGCTACTGAGAAAATTCATTACTACACGTGTCCCCCTCAGGCACTCCCGTGATGAGGGGGGAGGTGTCGGGGAAGGTGTGAGGCTTTTCAACAAATGAAAATTTAATTGCATAAGAATAAAATATCTTTATCGATCACCGAGAGCTCGCTGAACAGATGAATGGTCGGCTTTGTGAGGTAAAAAGCGCTCTAATGTCCCTGTGGAAAAACATTGGAGGGGGGGGGGGGTCATTTGTGTTGTGAATTCAATGCTGCTCTTCATACCTCCCCCTGTATTACTTTCAACACCATTTGTGTTGCAGAATAAAATGTGAGTGCTGACCAAATTAAATGGCAAGTTAATGTATGTTATTAAATAGAATAATGACGTCTGCTTTATGTCCTGACATATCCTTAATTTGGGGTAAAATGTAGAAAAAGATACAGTGCCTGGCTATCTAAATATGTATTTGTAAAACCCCATGAAAACTAATGGAGTGTGTGAAGCATGTTTAGTTTTTTTTATACAAAATTTTATTTCTATTAAAAATGTTTTGAAACTTCAACGTACGTTTTCCGGTTCTTTTGATACGTTTTTATCGTTAATCCGACCATAACAAAACTAAAATGAAGAGACTACTTTGCTTGAATACTTTATTTTACTATGAACAGATAAGGTTGCATAAGGAATTGTACATTAACAAACGTGCAGCATCTTCAGCTAAATCCTTGGCAGGTGTGTGTGTGTGTGTGTGTGTGTGTGTGTGTGTGTGCGTGCGCGTGTTTTTAAAAGTTTTTCTTGATGTAATAATACAGATTAAAAAACAGTTTGTCAGCCCTTTAAAAAATCAAAAAAGACTGGCTGCTATCGTCTGAATAATACGTTGCCACTAGTGCTCTAATATTAGCAGCGGAAAGATGTAGAACTTGCCAACATGAAATTATATGAAATGACTGGTTTGCTGGGAACTGAGGCCTCTGCATTCAGCGAGCACTCTGCAGCGATCCGCTTCTCCACGCCCCCCCGATTCTGTGAGCCCACGACACAAAAGGCTCGGCCATGACAGTCGCTGCTTAGCGAGCTTTGCAAATATATGTAATGAGTGTATATCATCTTCATCAGCAGATACAGGAGAAGATGCAATGACAGTCCAATGTGAAAAACAGGGTTTCACGTTGATTTGTTTCAGAAGTATCTTAACAAAGAACAAATGGTTAAAGAGTGGTGTTCATTTAATTCATTTCTATATGTTTAAAGACAGTTTTGTCAAAGTTGAATGTTGTCACGTCGTCATATTTATGCACCGAGAGTCACTTTCTAATGACCCACGCGCACTTATTGAAGGAAGGAATATTTAATACAGAGCTTTTGACTGGCTGCCAAATAAACATCGATATACAGAATGAGAGACACTGCAGGGCACTGAGGTGGGAATTAACTAAATAAACCAGTAAATCAATATTTTAATAAATAACACTTATTAGCATAATCCGTCCATGGTGAAAAAAATACAAGTATTTACTGTTTTTTGCTCAAAAGTAGTTTTTTAGAATAAAATACTTGATGTAGATAGTATAAGCAATGAAACAGTTAGGACATAATGTCATAATATTGTAGTAAATGTGATGAGATAATGTAATTCTAATATTTCCCGTATGAGTGAAGAGAAGCATACTTATGGTTAATGACTGAGTACATATGAAACTACTACTGATTAAATCACTCTGAGCCACAGTGACGATGTTAATGCAAACCGCTGCTCAAGGAAACCACATCTGGCGTGATTAGATTGTGAATAAGCTGCAGGGAGGAGGGGACTTTTCCTTTACTGCAGCAAAGAGAAGAGAGCATAATGAATCTGTACAACTGAATAGTGTGTTCTGCTTTGGTTAGAAAGACGACCTCAAACCAACAATGTCGAGACAATGACGTGAGCTTATCGATTTGTTTTCTTTCCGTCCACTTATTGTTAGGAGTCTGTGACTAATACAGGGTCCTCAACCCAGCAGCTTTCTTTCACACTGACAAGAAGCTATGCAGACCAATGCACAGTCCTGCAGACATAGCAACTATGAGCAGTATCATTTTTCCTTGTGCCAGATCTGAAATACCAATATGCCGATTAACGGGTCAATCCAAGCAAACCCTGGTAACCCGTTTTTCAATGCTATGAATTGTAGGTAATTCCGTCGGGGGAAAGTCTGCACACTTTGGTAGAGTGTGAAAAAAGGGTCTCTCTAGGAGTTGAGGATCCGGAGCCCCGGTCCCTCCCAGAAAGCACCTGAGAGCCTTTGAATGTGGACTTTGAGATTCAGGGAGACAAGAAGACGCCTACAGAGGGATTAGTGTATTGTGTATTTATAGTCCTTTCTCTACTTGATGTTGTTTTGTCTTTCTTTGGGTCGTCGCGGCCCAGATCTTCCGTGACCTGCGTGTTGTTTGTCATCCGGACTCTCGTTTCTTTCATTGAAATGTCCCAATGCGTCTGCCTGCCTCTGACTCTGCATTAGAGCAAACATGACCTTTTGATGAGACACTAGAATATGAATTTGTAGAATTTAATATTCAATGACTTCATGGCATACTATACTGTGACATTTAAAAAAATCTCATACATGGACATAGTTATATGATAAAGTACTATGAGTTTGTTATAACATACTCTACTTTGACACAGGTTGTGAGAACAGCCAAGAAGCCAAAAATCAGTTTTTTGGAGTTATACACACAGCTGCACTTACTTATTTTAGAACATGCTCTACCTTTTTAAGACTTTTGTCACACTTTTGTATTTTTAGGACTGACTAAGGTAATCATCCATTCATTCATGTGTACAAACCATGTTTCCACAAAAAAAGTAAAAATGCAGTGAATAACAGAATAACAATGTATACCCAGGAAAAGGCACATACATCGGCAATGCCCAAAACTCTCTTGATCCTATTAGTGAACCCCCCCCTCCTCCATATCTATCAAATTGGATGTCCTAACATAATAATTATTCCCCCCTCTGTGTTCATCTGATGTACAGCACACGCCTGCATCTGTACAATCAGACACACCGATGATCCTCACACGACAAAGCTTTACAAATCTAAATTGTTGCTGCAGTGGGGATGAAAATCTTTACATAGCTAAAGCAAGAGCTTTTCATTCGGCCTACGCCATAATCTTCCATTGAATATTATACTGTATATTCAATGGATATATATATATATATATATATATATATATATATATATATATATATATATATATATATATATATATATATATCAACATATTAAAAGAAAGAGCCTTATAAAATGATGAGAGCCAATGGTGAATATGATCATGCGGGTATTTTCACCTCGTTACTACCATTCCGTGTGCTGCTTTTATTCAATATTTAAATAACAAATACTTGGTGAGGCAAGAGAGAAATCACCTTCAGTGAAACGCAAGAAATACTCAAATCAATTGTTTCCGATAAGGTCACTGGGATTCCGAAGGTTTTCACCCTTGATTGTTTCTTTTTGTGAACGCGATAAACACTCGAGTTTAAATTGGCAACATTTTCTTGGCAGTAAAACTTAACAATTACTTAATGCAGCAACTGAAGATATGATTACATGAAGTGGGTGGATATTATTCTAAACTATATTCTATTTCATTAATCATAATACACTGTCGGATTGCCATGGCCAACGTATCAAGGCCACCGCGAAAGCGTGATTATCTTCGCAGATCGAAAGCGTGTATCTGCTGCCTCTTCCCCGCGCACCTGAGGATAATACAACTGCCCTCAGATGACAGAATGAGCACAGGACCTCGTTCTTTCTCCAATTGAGCCCCAATATAGAGGAGGATTAAGAGAAGCAATGCGGCCATGTTTCTTTCAAGGGTCCTTTGGCTGAGCTCTCTCAGCGGTGTAGCGTTGCCATTGTACGCCATCGTAAACAAACGGAACGCTGGCAGCGGCGGCCCGCCTCGCTGTGAAAGCAATCTGGACTGATCTTCCAGCAGAAGCGGCAGCGCTGGCTGCACGAGGCCACCGATTCGCCGCGGATGCCAAGAGAAGAGCCCGATAAGGAAGCGACTGAATGTATGCGAGAGGAAAAGATAACGGGGGGAAAATGCAGATGCTTGTGAAGTAGCATATCTGAGAAAAAAAAACATGCAGAAGTGCTCTTAAGAGGGCATGTTAGTGCTCAAAGAACCACGGCCTATTTCATTCACCTTTTGTCTGCGATAGTGATGAGTGATCAGAGACGTGGCGCTGCGTCTTATGCACAGCGCATACACTATGTTGCTAGGAAACAGTTGCTCATGAATACCCTGCAGTTATTGCACATCAAAGGAGTTATGTTCGTGTAGTTCAGTGGACGCGTTAAAAAAGAAAAATAATGGAAGGGTACTTCTCTACATAGATATAAATATTTCAATGTGAATATTTATTTGCAAATACTGTATATGTAGCACAGAATGAATAGTATATACTTCAGATATGCAACAATGTAACCACCATAGTGCTCTTTCATGTTTTTTCATGACAATGTTTTGCACCATCATTTGTAGTTTTTTTTTGTAGTTCATTTGTAGTTTGCACCTTGTATTTATAAAAAGAATGTGCACTACATCACTTCATAACAACACATTAGCAAATGAGGATTCGAAATCAGTAAATCGGCGCACCCCGAATGAAAATACAATTTATTTTGAACTGAACAAATATCGGACAACTGCAGGAGGGCATTCCAGCTGCATTTCATTTACTTACAATAAATGCATTCAACCGTAACTACTTTTTTGAAATCAGAACTAATTTTCTGAAACATCTGGATAGCTTTTGGGACTATTTTCAGCGGCGGACTAATACACCTTACTCCAAGTGAGTATTTACAACAGGAGGACCAGGCCTTTGGGATTGACTTTAAATAAACTGTGTTTGAGGAACATGCTAGCAGTGTTAACAGTGATTTTTAACATATTTTTACTGTTTTGTGAGAAATAAAAATAAGTTTGACCTCTTTAGTAAGATCAACTCGATGTGGATTTTGGTCGTCAAATGGGATTGGTTAATTGTGCAAATATATAAATATAATTGCTATTGCAAGTAAGAGATCCACATTATCCGACGTAATTATGGAATGCAAATCCCAAAAATAATTAGTGTTAAGAATAACACATTCTCCCATGTATCTATAAATAATTAATCAGCATATCATGCATCCCAAGTATGTATGCTGATTCTCCATTAAACTTTCATTTGTCCTTTCTAATTTATTTTCTTAGTTTCTAGGACTATTTATATTAGATGTGGATTTACCATCGGTATATATATCGGTATATGGTTTGGCAGTGAGCTGAATTTTTCTTTTCCAGGTTAGTATGTATGACTATGTATGTAGTTTATTTATACATGTATACATAATCATTTTCATTACATTACATTTTATTGTTCAAATCTACACCATCAGTCTTCAAGTGTGTAAACTAAACAATAAAAAAAATTACACTTCTTTTCTTGAGATACTGCGTCTTAAAAATCACTTCCTCCTCCAACTTCACACCTAATTAAGTTGA